GTGTGTAGAACCGTCTGTGTGTAAAAGCGTCTGTGTGTAAAAGTGTTTCTGCGTAAAAGTGTTTGTATGTAAAACCGTCTGTGTGTAAAAGCGTTTGTGTGTAGAAGCTTCTGTGTGTAAAAGCGTCTGCGTGTAAAAGCGTCTGTGTGTAAAAGTGTTTGTGTGTAAAAGTGTTTGTGTGTACAAGTGCCTGTGTGTAAAAGCGTCTATGTGTAAAAGTTTCTGTATGTACAAGCGTTTGTGTGTAAAAGCAGCTCTTGTGTGTAAAAGCAGCTCTTGTGTGTAAAAGGGTCTGTGTGTAAAAGTGTCTGTGTGTAAACGTGTCTGTGTGTAAAAGTATCTGTATAGAAGCGTCTGTGTGTAAAAGCTTCTGTATGTAAAAGCTTCTGTATGTAAAAGCTTCTGTGGGTAAAAGCTTTGTGTATAAAAGCGTCTGTGTAAAAGCTTCTGTGTGTAAAAGCTTCTGTGTGTAAAAGCTTTTGTGTGTAAAAGCGTCTGTGTGTAAAAGTGTTTGCGATGCAAAGTATTGTCTTGTACTTCTCGTTATTTTGTCTTGATATTCCTCTTCTCGACTGCCTATAATACATCTTTCATATATCGTTTCTAAAATTGCGTCTCCATACTAACAAGAGAAGACCCTGCTCCTCTACGCTCTCGGGCCATCCGTCGTCTAATTTTTTTTTCTGTGTTTCTTTATCTTTCCATTCTGAATGAAATATTTCGGGGAGGAATTGCGCAAATCATTCACAAAATATGGGCATGCATGGGGCCTCTACAAAATACAAAGCCAAGCATGACAAATATCCAACACAATCTTTCCGGGGTAGAAATCCATCCAATCTACTCCCACCAAAATATTACACAAAAATGGAAAACATTGCCTCTACAAAATCATCTCCTAGCAGTCTGGGGTATTGCAAAATGAATCTTTAATTTTTTTGACGACGCTCAATCCTGTATTTTGAAGGCAAAATTGGGGTTTGAACTGGTGGCCCTGCACTGGCTCGAGAGGTGTTTATACCTCATTATTTTGTAGAGAAAATAATCACAGGGATCTGCTAAATACGTGCTAGGTAGCTGCTAAATAGTTGCGAAATAGTTACTGAATACATGATAGATGGCTGCCAAAGAGTTACTAAATACTTATTTGTATTAAATAGCTACTAAATAGTTTTGGCAGCTGCTAAATAGTTACTGAAATAGCTCCTAAATAGCTGCTAAATAGCTACTCAATAGCTGCTAAATAGCTACTCAATAGCTAAAAAGATTCCAAATATCTCCTAAATAGTTTCTAAGCTTCTAAATAGCTGCTAAAAAGATGCTCACTAGTTGCTAAATAGTTGCAAAATAGCTTCTAAATAGTTGCTGAGTAACTGATAAATGGCTTCTAAATAGCTTCGAAGTAGGTGCTAAATAGCTTCGAAATAGCTTGAAAATAGCTGCTTAATAAATGCTAAAGAGCTGCTAAATAGCTTCTGAATAGCTGCTAAATAGCTGCTAAATAAAACAAGGAGATAAATGGATACATGTGATTTTGGAATATTCTAATTACTGACGAATAATTTTGGGTTATTCTATTTGCTAACAAATAATTATATACTTATATATTACAATATGTAAATTACAATAATTGACGCGATATATTTTGCATCTTTTTGGAACCCAAACAATTACAGAGATCCCATATCAATTTTTTTTTCCGAATTATTTTATAAATAATATAAATTATATATATACTTATTTATTTCATTTTGTAAAAAATATGAAAATCTATATTTTGTTGGATATATATACGACAAATTCCCATATCATTTATAAATAATATATATATTATAATATATATATATAAAATATATTTATTTGATTTTTGAATTTACCATTTAAATATATTATATATTTTAAAAAAATATAATATTAAAAATATATTTAATTTCAAATTATTTGGTTTAAATATATTTAATTATTATTTATATATTTCTATAATTAATTTAATATTTTTAATTATATATATTAATTTTATATTTTTATATATTATGTTTTATTTTTTTTAGAATAATTATTTTAAATTTCCAATTAAATTGTATAAATTAAATAAATATTCAATACATAATATTTTATATTAAATAATATATATAAATAATATAAAATATATAAAATATATATATAATTCCGATATATTTAGAAATTCCGATATATTTAGAAATTTAGCTAATAATTATTTATAATTAGATATTTTTAAAAATAAACAATATTATATATATATTTTAATATAATATATCAAATTATATTATATAAATATATTTATAATAATTATTATATATACATATAATTATTCACATAATTTTATAATTTTTTTATGTATTTCTTATTTTATATTAAATTATATTAATAATATATAAATTTTCATTAAATATAAAATTAATTTAAAATTATTATTTATATTATTTTTAATTTTTAATATTATAAATATATAAATATAATATAATCCAATTATAAAATATATTAATAATAATTATTTTTTATAAAAAAAATAAATTAAATTATTAATAAATAATAAATTATAAAATAAAAAATAAAACATAAAACCAAAATACATATAATAATTAATTATAAAATATATATTATATATTTTATTGTCAAAAAAAACAATAAAAAATAAAAAAAACAATTTATTTTCGAAATTAATATATAAATAATTCCAAATTTCTAAAATATTTCGTACAGGGAAACGACAATATCACGCCTAAATCATGCCTAGCATGTTTTTGAGTGGCATTTACCATTGTAAGGGCTGTATCCAAGAAGTCATGCCTAAGTCATGCCTAAATGTTTTTCTGCATGGAA